AAAAACACCTAAGATTCGTCTTGGTCTAAATTACATCGTGTAGATTTATTGTTGATCATGCTGCTAATTTCATTTTAAAAAGTAACGCTGAAATATGTTTATCCGAACTGTCCATGTAAAACTCCGAATAATATTAATATTATGGACAAAAGATGTTAAGATTAGTAAATATCGAAACCGTTATTCCTACGAGTGCTTTATAATGGCAATCATCGTTTTAACAGCTCCTATTTTATTAGCTAAAATAAAATCCTATAATGGTGATTTCTCGTGTCAAGTAATTTATGATAATTATCTTCATAGGAATAGATCTTTCCTTCACATTTGCAAAAGAGCATAAAAATAAGGATTTTGAATTTGTCTGACAATACAACGCCCCTTCCAAACTTCGGTAGACTTTTTTGGCATCTGGGAAGTGTACATTTCCAAGTTGAATTAAAAGGAAAATCATCTTCGATAATGTAATTTTTACGAGTTTCTAACCCCATTAAACGAGCGCCATTTTGAAAAGCTCTCACGTTTGAGTTGGCAAACTAGTCTGCAAATTTAATAACGAATATGAACATAATAACAGTGTATGACTGAAATTTTCTTCAAGGATTATAGGCAAGTCAAAATAAAAATTAAGAATTAATTTAATTAAAACAAAAACCAACTTCTTCATTCATTCTTTCTCTTCATTCTTTATTATTATTATATTATGGATTATTATTATTATTATTTTTACCTACTACTAAATAATGACGGATCCTATTTCACAAATCATCTAGCTGTTCTATGAAGTATCTTTTTTAATAGTCCTTAAGTTCTTTCTTGTCAACGAACAGTTCATTATCTTTCTTTTTTTAAATAGCAGAAACGCCTACCATTATCTGGTACCATTGTAATATTTTATAAGTATTAAACAGATTGAAAGCTCTCATAAGGGTCACAGAGTGAAAGTGAGGCAGGAGGCAAGAATGATAAAAAAAAAAAAATATATCGAAATAAGGACGACGGCATTTAGTAACAGTGAATAGTGAAATCTGAAGCGATTAAAAGGAATATATTCTGTTGGCATTGGAGAGACTAGGAAGCTTTTTTGGAGATCAGGAAACGTCCGACCAGGTGGCCTTCTGGATCCCACAGGGTAAAGCGGAAAAGCGAATCTCACTTCTGGTTATTTCAAAATGGAAGCCGCTTTGCTATAGTTTACCGAACAAGATAGGTCCCAAACGAGATAAGCACAAAAAGCAAGCGTAGGCAGATAAAGTTATCTGCGAATTAAAAGTTGCAGATAAGGACAACAATGGTAAGCGTATGATAGAGTTTCATCGAAGGAGATAAGAACAAAAAAAAAAAAAAATACACTGATGTACTTTCTCTAGCTTTTTATTAGATATTGCATTTAATATCTAATAAAGATATTTCAGAGCTAATTGGTACACGATCTTTATAAATTATTTTTGAAGTGAAAACTTCAATTGCACTTCATTTTTTTTTTTTTTTTTGTGGAAAGTGAATTATATCCGTCAGATCTCCGATGTCTAACCCTTGGGTAAAGTCGGATGGTGTCTTTTGAAATGTTTTTGCATATAGATTAAAATATCTCTATAACTAAAAATCGAGCCTGCATATTGTAAGCGAGGAGATTGTTTAACATTTCATCTTCTCTGTAATAAATTATTATTTAAAATTGTATCTTAACGCGCCGCCGTGTTAGAGAGGCGAAAAGGAAACAATAGTCACGAAAATATTAAATGTGTTAAATTTCTGTGATATTATTAATTGTAATAATATATTGTTTAATATCTCCTATTTTTACTAATAATAATATAACTTTTGGAAGATCATTATATATTGTAGCGATACATTCAAAAGAAATTAGAGTTCGTTAAAATAAAAAATAAAATTATAAAAATATTGATACATGAAACTGAAATTTATAATTATTTTATTTAAAGGTATGGGATGCTAACAATCAGAACAAAACTACAAAACTAAAGTCACATAAACTTGCAACCTAACCTTTATAACCTATATCTTTATTGGAGGCACTGCATTACTCAGTTATGGTAAAACTATTACTGGGTTTTACCCAATGGAGTCAGGATCCCTTCTCACATACACTCTTCAATCCCGCCATACAACAACTTAACTTCTTTGTTCATCCCCTAACAGCCATTTTCTTCTTTGGGGAAACTCCAGAGCCGCCATTTTCTTTTTCCTGAACTAGTGAAACTATTTTTAAAAATTTAAACTTCCCCTGATTTTAGCAGAATTAGATCAGCTTGCCTTCAACTGTTCAACATAAATGTTTAACAATTCAATATTAATTTACTAAACTTTTTTTACCGAATTCCATTAAAGATGAATAGTCCGTGGTATAGGGTCATTTTTATCAAACAATTAACATCCGCCTGAAACTTCGTTAATAACTTCATCTCATCGTAACCTACAAATATTTTATTTACGAAAAGTCTGGTTATTGTGACGTTTTCAATCCAGGGGTTGGCAAATGCAGTATATTTAATTAGGTAGTAAAAACTCGTAAATACCCATTCGCTTTCCAATTGGATCGTAAGACAAGTTGATAAAAAAAATCGATAAAAAATGTGGCCTGCAAAAATATTGGGCCGTTTATTCTATAGAACCATTTTGACAATTTTTGACCAACGGATCGATATTTCTTAATGCCACATTTTTTCTCTACTTTGTGCTCAAATTATCTTTCGATTCAAGTGGAAAGCAAATGGGTTTTTACGAGTTTTTAGTAAATAATTAAATAACAAATTTTGCCAACCTACAGATTTAAAACGCCCCAATTTCGAAATTTTTTGCAAATAAAATATTCGTAGGTTTACGATGAGAATAAACTATTCACGAATTTTCAAGCGGATGTTAATAATTTGATAAAAATGGATCTGTACCACGGAATAGTATATTACAATTGATTATTGAATTTTGTTTGTTTATATTATCTTGATTGTATAAAAGTATTCAATAAAAAATTCTCTCATTAATTAATAATCGAAAAATGTAGAAAATTTGAATCATATGTAAATAGCATAATAAAATTATGTAAAAAAAGGCATTAAAATGATGTGCTGTTCAAAAGTTACAAATTATATATATATTTAGTTCCCATAATTATAATTCTGATTAAATAATTATAACATTCCATAATAAGTTATGGATAATAGTTTCAGGAATGTGTGGCAATAGCATGCAATTGTTGTATTTATGGATACAAAAATCACCTGAAAGAAGTTGCAAGGACAGAAACTATTATGCAGATTTGATGTATCCCGAGATGTAGCGTGGGAGGATGTAATTAAAGTAGCGAAACGACTGAAGACGTAATTGCTTTAAACGTTTTGGAATATGACGATCTATCGAACAACGAGACTAATGTTTCAACTATTGCAGGCAATAATTCACTAAAGTCTTCCAACTCCAGAATTCCATTATTACAATAGCATTGCGTACACCTTCCATTCGAGTTTCACATCGTATTATTCAAGACAAACTCGTCCCTTCATCAGATTTGTAGGCACGTGTGAATTTATTAGTAGAGAAAAGGGTAAATAAATTAGAGAAGTCAGCGAATGTATTAGACACTCCTTACAGGAAAGTTGCGAAGTCATCACTTCCAAAAGAAAGCGTAGTCTATAGGAGAGAAAGTTCTCCGGAGACCTTTGTAAAGCAGAAAAGAAATCACAAATAATGCCCGGAGGACGGCGATTACATGGCGAAACGAATGGCAGAAGGAGGGACATGTAAGAAACTCGCGCTACGGCAAGAGGCGCGAGCGGATAAAACCCGATTTAAAAAAAGAAATGGATAACAAACAAGTATACGTAAAGAAAGATGAAAAATATTATTATTTGAGAAAATTCTAACTAAAGTATATATAATGATAATTACTTTGGAAAAAAAAAAAGGAACTAACTAACAATGTGTTAAAATAATAATAATACATTATTTACTCTGAGACGAGTCCCTTTAGAATAATACAGAAAGACAGAGATGTGGAATAAGGAGCCTCAGAGATACATAAACAAAAACAAAGTAATTAAATAGTCACAATAAAAATTAAAAAAAATGAAAAAACGTTGAATAAAAATTTTATATACGTATTTACAGTAATATTTATTTAAAATTTTATGAGGATTGGATGGATAATATATGATTGAACACGCGGGATTTAAAAGTAGGGAGGGTATTGGATTGACGGATGTAGGAAGGGATGGAGTTCCATAGGGACGAGGATCGGATAATGAACGATCTGTCAAAAGCAGCGGTTCGGTGGGCCCTTGTGTTTAAATCTGAAGACCGGGAACGAAAAGAGAATTTGATTTGAAGTAGTTGGAGATGTATGATGGAAGGCGGGATTGGATGACACGGAGATAAAGGATGCCAGGACATACTACCACAGGACGAAGGTAGAAAGGATAAAACCACTTCAACTCAAAGGAACAGAGGCAATCCATGGTATTCCAAAGATGAATTGTATAAAGCAATTTATCAAACGTTTTAGTTTCGTCTCGAGATTCTCAGAGACGCCCCCGTATACTGTGCAGCAATAGTCAAAGTGGAGAAATATTAAAGAGGTGACCAAGAGTCTACGGGTTTCAAATGGAATTAGCTAAGGGAGGTAATTTAGACATTTTAAGATAATACTACATGAAGTCCTATTAAATGTAATTACATGAGCAGTAATACTTTTAGAGATAATTCCTTAATATTTTTTTCAAAAACCATGATTTTATTTTACTTATTTTTGGGGGGAAAGGAGGAAGAGGGATCTTCAGTGCTAAAGCCGTGATCCACCTGTGATAAGCATAAGTAATAAGCACTAATGAAAGCAGCTTGGTATTTGACAAGCAATGTCCCAAATTAACATACTAATTATCCTATTCATATCAATACGTCAAACGAAATCTTTAATTAAACTCAAAAAATAGCACAGCCTGGTCCAGCGACAGGCTATGGTTTACCTATCCACCGATACAAGAAAATTAAATAGATGTTGGTAATGAGATATGCAGATAAGAGATTTGGGAATAACGGAACCTTGATAAAAGCTTGGAACAGGTGTTGTAAGTGCCTCCCACCATTCCTGACAATCAACCTCATTTATTTCCACAACAAATTCATAAATATTCGACAATTAGAGGTTGAGAACTAAATTAATGAAGGAAACCAGAATCTATATCCTCACGGATATAAGAGCAGAAAGCAGCAGCAATACCGAAAAACTTCACTCAGAAGAGGACCCACTTCAGAGAGCTCGCCTCGCTGAGCAGAAGAAGGATGCTGTTGAAGACCTAAATTGACGCTAAAAAAAAATCTTTAAGTGTTTATGGGCGACATATGTATGCTCCGCTTAGCACCGTTAGGTTACTTATAATATATTACGTTAAAATTGTACCAATACAAGTTACGAAGGGTCTTGAGTTCAATACTGTGTTGAGAAGTACTGTTTCTGGGTTAACGGTTGTGCTAGGAGATCTGTCCGAGATCACGCTCAATATTATACAATACCGCTCTATACAATACGATATCTTTCGATAACATAACAGACAAGTTCTAAGATAGAATGGAAATAAAACGTAAATACAAACAAAATGAAGAGATGAGCAATACAGTTCTTTCCAGGAATTCCGATCAGAATGACTCAATGATGATAATGGATGTAGCTATACCTAATTCATCCAAAAAAATATAAAAAGAGGGATAAAGACTACTAAGTTAAATTGATTCAGTGAAATGAACTATTGCTGTTTTATTTTTTTTTTTTTTATTATTCGTTAAAAAAAGGTTGTTTTTTTTTTAGTCGTATTCAGGCACCTAAAAAAATCATTTTAATTTCCATGCTATTTATAGTCAAAAAGAAAGTTATATGCTCATTTACAGAGGATATATGAAAGTATGTATACATCATTTTGTAAATGATGGACCAGGGTGGAATTTTGATTATTTTACGGAAACATTTATATTACCTAATTACAATAAGTATAAATTGAAGAGACGATTGGTTGGGGTGATCAGTAAAAAAAAAATGTAAAAATAAATAAGTATATTAATTTTTATTTTTGGCGACGTTTCAGCCCAAAGATCAGGACTTCATGAGTGCAAAGAAAAAACCAGCAACAATAGGTATGAGAAACTATTAACATTAATAAGAAATAAATAATATATCGGCGAAAGGAAAATAAAGTAGGTAGAATATACTTTAAAGTAAAATAAAGTTGGTAGAATAAACTTAAAGGAAATATAGAATAACGTTAACCAAGTTAGGGGTAGAAAGTAGCGGAAGCAAAGATAGGATATATAACATAACAGTTACAAAGTTAGGAAATTTAATAGGAATAAAATAATAACAGTAACAGAAAACTATGAAATAAATAATAACGGCATCAAAGTAGGGACGAAATAAACATAATTTAAATAAGGCAACATAAGAAATACAAAATAATTAAAACATCTTTTAATTTTTAGATGACATCATTAAACAAGATGCGTTAATAATCTTTAGGTTTTTTATTTATAATAACTGTAATTTACTTATTTTATTTTATTTTTTTGGGAGTATCAGATGAATCATGTACAGAGGTGCTTTTCAAAAAATTAATTAAGAGGAAAAAACTCCAGATTTGCATATGATAATACGACTGTTTTTGTGGGTTTTTTTTTTAATTTTTTAACATAAATTTTGGGAAGTGAACTACTTTTATAAAGAATACGGAACTCCATAAATTACCTTGATCTTTCTTTGGCCTCACGGCGAGGATCGCCGAATACGTCCTAGTGATTTGAGGATGTGTCGGTCCGCAGTGAAAGGACTCACGACAGCCACAATAGATCATAAATCACGAAGTGAAAGCGCTCAAGTAAATACGAACAATATTCCTCTCATATGAAAATAATTATGACGGAGAGTTTCTCTGCTTCAAACCGACGCTTTCTATGAAATTGAGGTAATAGAACTAACGAACGAATTTTTAAAATTGGAATGTTTTTTCCTCAATTTCATATTTTTGAAGTAAAAAAGAGATCGAGTAAATAAATAAAAGAATTATAAAAATTCTCATAATTGGAATACTTCAAGGATATCGCTAGAATATTTCATAAAAATATTTAAAAAATTGAACAAATCTAGTCCTTGGAATTGTAGCTTATAATAATAATTTTCATTTTTATAAATTAAGTCCGTTATTCCACCAACATTTTATATATTTTTTATTTTATCTTGACAACGTTTCGGTAGACACTAGGGCCATTATCAAGTCTCAATAGAGTTCTCCACCTAAATATCCATATTCAACGTCAAATTCTTTATCCTGGGCACAATCAAAACCGTCTTAATATTTTACGGTTTCCCCTTCAATATATCTGGAGAAACCAGTGTTTGGCGAAACATTGTAGAGATAAAATAAATAAAATGTTGGTGAAACAACGGCCTTAATTTGTAAAAATGAAAACTTTAAGACACCAAATCTAGGTATAATGAAAGAACAATAATAATTTTCTTTTTTACTGAAGCAAAATTTTATAGATGAAATGTTATAAATTTGGTACTTTCATGTGGGAAAAATCCCGTGAAATTGAGCTGTATAGAATTCAGCTAATAAAGAACACATATAACCACTTTTCAAACAATAAAACATGATCTATTTATCTAAAAATTTGAAATAAAACTACGTCTAAAAATAATAGTGTGATCTTGGATGGGACCTATGTCTACCATAGCAAGCTGTCAAACACGATACAAGGTATGTTCATGCAACCAGTGCTAAGTATTGTAAACCTCTTAAATGTGTAAAGTCGAGAAAACTATTTACTAAATGTGTGTTAGATGTGGCCGCTAGCACACTCGATTTTAACGTATTGTAAGGTTCTAATGCGTTTGATTCATTGTTTGTATACAATATCCACAGAAATGCAATGAAAAAACAGTTAGGATTTCATCTGTGTATTCATCAAGTTCTTTGCCATTTGAATTTATTCGTGCGGCATTTTAAAAATAAATCAAAACGTTTGTAAAGCCATTAAGAATGCTGACTGCTTATCACGATAGCACATTAAGCATTTACAACAATTGAATGAATGCCCCAAATGTCTGATCTCAGTTCTATTTTATTCTAAAAGCAGGCAGTCCCCTTTAAGTCCCGTTTATCTTTCTTTAAACCTTGATATCTTTGACAATATATATAAGAATTCAGGCAACTATTTGCGTTTTTATTACCTAATTGTCCAAACTACAGGCCCCTTTTTATCAAATTATTAACATCCACCTGAAACGTCGTAAATAGCTTCATCTTAATGTAATATACAACTATTTTTTTTACGAAAACCTTTGGAATTCGGGCGTTTTCAATCTGGAGATCGACAAACTATGTCTATTTAATTAGATATTAAAAATTCGTAAATATCCCTATTTACAATTTACAATACAATTTGCTTTCCACTTGATTCGAAAGTTTATCACAAAATCGAAAAAAAAGGTGGCCCTTCAAAAATATATGGGCCTGTTTGGCTACATCCACAACACCTCCAAATAACAAGGTTACAATGGCCAAACGATCCAATATTTTTAAGGCCAACTTTTTTTCGATTTTGTGATCAAATTGTTTTACAATCCAAATGCAAAGCAAATGGATATTTTCGAGTTTTTAGTACCTAATTAAATAGACATAGTTTGCCTATCTCCAGATTGAAAACACCGCAATTCCAAGAGTTTGTATAAATACAATTGTTGTAGTTTACGATGAGATAAAGCTATTTACGAAGTTCCAGGCGGATGTTAATAATTTAACAAAATGGGTCTTTACCATGGACTATAATCTTCACCGACTTTTAACATACATTATATTATCAACATAATTTTATTTATATTATAAACATATTCTACTTTCAGGTAAGATTATTTTTTATTGGTATAAACTAATCTTCACCTGAAACGAGAATATGTTGACGATATCCCTTATTAAACAAAAATATTTCAGAATAATATATTATCTGTGGAAAACTATTTAACGAAAGAAACTGTTAATAATTATACGACCGTCAAAAGAGCAGGTTTAATGACGACTGTGATGATAATTCATGGTTTACACGCTTAGACTCGATGGTAGATCTAATATAAACAATAGCTTTTCATAATACCGCAGAAGTAGATGGGAGAATAGTTCTGAGAGTAATTCAGTGAATGTTCGGTTTTTCAGGTAGAAAGAGTGTAATTAATATTGATGGTGAGATGAATTTGTTCAAATATACCATTGCAACTTTTCATACTATAGATAAATATTTTTTTTTTTACTATGTTAATTATTGATTAATGGAATATAAAATTATACATAGTGCTAATAACTGACATTAGATGGCGAGTTTGTAGCACTGTTATCTAGAGAAACCAACAGACCATGCAAGGCTATTGTCTGGTGAACAACTTTATGTAACACACTACCATCAATTCTATCTTCGTATAGAAGTGACTCTTCGAAACAAATAAATCATTGTCAAATATAAACAGCCAATTAACATACCATTTAAAAAAGAAACCACTTTAACATAGGTGGAGACTTCGGAAGAGCGAGGGGGCGATGTTCTCCCAATAAAAATATAGAGGGGAGCGAGAGTATCCTAGTGTGTGTATATATTAGTGCCTTCCTACAAGAATTCGAAGTAAAAAAAAAAATTATAATTATAAATGAATAAGCTGGAATGAATAAAATATTTAAAACAGGAACGATTGAGAAAACAGAGAAAGTCGGCCAGGTGGTTAGGATCAAGTATTGAAGTAGGTATATAACTATTTTATGATATTATTATACAAAGATTAGATGGCGATAATGATATTATTATTATTATTATTTATTATTTATATATATATATATATATATATATATATATATATATATATATATATATATATACACACATCCTTTTTTAGGGGAGGGTTAAGATTTTAGAAAAAATCCTATTTCATTAATTTATATTATTTTTATGACGAGTACATTGTTTAATTCATCATTTTTTTAAAAGAGGGTTCGATTACCATTATTAAATAAACATATTCTATTTTTTTAATATTTATCTCGTTTCCTCATTTCCGAAAAAAAACGAAAATAAGGTTTTCTTTATGCAGAAGTTTCATCTTTAGTTCTATTTAAGTTTTATAGTAAAGACACCGAATAAATATTATAGATGGTTTAATAATTGATTAATTATGGATTAATGGTTTAATTATGGAGGTTCGTATTGAATAAAAACTTAACTTATTTGAAAAAACAAATTAAAAAAATGCTATCCGTGGATATTGACTGTATGGACAGTTTTGACGTTCTTGAAGTCTGCTTAAATTTTATCTATTAATTAAAGTGCTCACACATATCAATTCTGAATTCATCGTATCATTTTTTGCATTTTATTTTAAGGGAAATATCAAAAAAGTTTCAAGAGGAAGAATTTAGCCAAGTTTGATTAATATCGTTAAAGCCATTTTGGCGCGACAGGCTACGCGACACACGTTTTTTGGTTGCCATTTCGAAATCATTACCCGGATGGTAATGAGTAAATTAAAAAATTAAAATTAAAAAATCCATCAATTAGAAACCAATTCGAGCTAGATGTTAAGAATAGGTTTGAAGCTTTAGAGCTTCCTGACGAGGACCACGATGATATTGACAAGTTATGGGTAGAGATCAGGGATAATATTAAAGCGGTCGGTAACTCGTGTCTAGGAAAAAAGGAAAATAAGAATAACAAACCGTGGTTTGATGAAGATTGCTTAAACATGTGCGAAAAAAGGAAAGCCGCTAAATTAAAAGCTCTAAATAATCCTAGCGAAGACAATCTGGAATACTTCCGAATCTCAAAGAACGAAACGACAAAATTGCTCAAAAATAAAAAAAGGGAGTATCTCAAAAATAAAATAATTGAAATAGAAACTAATAGAATCGAAAATAACGTAAGAGACATGTACAAAGGTATAAACAGATCACGTAAATATGTAGGGCCCGTAACGTCTGGAATTAGGGATGATAATAACAATATTCTGACCGATCCGGTTGACATATTGAATAAGTTTAAGGACCACTTTGACAATATTTTAAATACGGGAAATTATGATCTGTGTCCTCCTTCTGAGTACCTGAGTGCTGAACCGTTAATAGAAGGACCAAGTAAAGAGGAAGTTGAAGTAGCTATCGGTAAATTAAAATCATATAAAGCAGCGGGAATTGATAATATTCCTACTGGACTAATTAAGGCATGCGGGGAAGCTGGAGTTTCTAAAATACATCGCTTGGTTGAAAAGATCTGGGTGAACGAGAAATTACCTGAAGAATGGAAAGAATCTATTCTTATTCTGATTCACAAAAAGGGTCCGAGGACGGATTGTAATAACTATCGAGGAATTTCACTCCTTCCGGTATGTTATAAAATATTCACTGTAATCTTAACCAGTCGAATCACGGAATACGCCGAGGAAATTATCGGAGACTACCAATGCGGATTTAGACGGAATCGTTCGACTATTGATCAAATATTTTCTTTACGGCAAATATTAGAGAAAAAATTGGAGTATAACGGTATTGTTCACCAGCTGTATATAGATTTTAAAAAGGCTTACGATTCTATTGACCGCCAGAAACTGTATAATATTCTAATCGAGCAGGGAATTCCAAAAAAACTAGTAAATCTAGTCAGGATGTGCTTGACGGAGACACTCAATAAAGTTAGAATCGGTAATAATTTGTCCGAAAAATTTGAGGTTCGTTCGGGCTTAAAACAGGGGGATTCTCTTTCGCCTGTCCTGTTCAATTTGGCATTAGAACATGCCATTAGGGAGGTAATGCGTACCGAG